GTTTCAGCACAAACCAGACTCCTTTCAGATGAAACTAAACAGAAAAGTGGCCTCCAGGGACACACCTACTGTGCTTCAGCGAACCATAGGTGGTCATTGCTTGGGACCAACAAGAGCTAGTCCAAAGAAAACCCTCAAGAAGAGCATATAGTGTGGACATGGATCTTCAACACCACTTTTTTCACTCTACAGACCTGCTCCTAATGAGCTACTACTCGCTTTTACAGGTGTAGCCTTTGAATGCTGGATGCCAGTAAATGCCTTCAGTTCAATTCAAGTATAAACTCAGGAGCTCAGTATTTCTTTCTGGAGGCTTTCAGAAACACCTACCACATACTGCAGAGGGAAGTCAGTCACTTTATGAGAATATGTTGCACTAGGTCTCTACAACAGAGATGCAGGAGAGATGCCTAGATGAGCTAGGTCCCATTCAGTGGTGATAATACTTAACACTTAATCAATACCTGGTGTCCTGATTAACTTTATGGACTGTTACTGGTCTACATGACAGGCGTGCTAGGACAGCTGAAGCAGTAGCGTGTAATTGTAATTTTATTGTGGATAAACTCAGGAGCAGCACTTCAAAGTCATCAAGAACAATTTAAAAGGGGATCACTTGGATGGCTAGAAAGGCAGTGGACACAATGCTCTGACTGTCCATGCTGTTCTTTACTCTGCTGCTGATTTGCTTAAATTAAATTTATTGATCTCTCTGCTCTTAATGTACTTCAGTGTTCTTGTAACTCCTTGGAGAAAAGATGGTGTTTATCCAGCATGTAGCACAATATTGTACTTTGCTGAGAATCTGCTGGTGCTTTCCGTGGTGTGGTGTACTCTTAAAGAGTATGAGATACTATTTTAAAAAATTAAGTGGTGGCTTCTCCATTTCAAATGAGGCCACGTCTCCATCACTCTTTCCAATATGTCTTTTGGTTGGTAGGATTTTTGTTGAGAGGAATACTGAACAAGGCTCCGTCCTAATACCCCCTACTAAACCAATTTCTGTAAGGTAAGAGTCCCTTCCTTAAACAGTGGAAATGTTCTGGTGATCTGGGAATTTCATTACGTTTCCCTCCAGGCCATTTATTCTGCTTCTTTCATATCTTCCCATTAATGCTTGTGCCTTCTCCTCCTTCTTGATTTATCATGTCTTGTCTTAATTCTTTTTACCTCTTCCCTATTCTTTCCCATCTTCGATGTGGTCTTTAATCCTTACCCTTACAATATATTTTATATACCCTTATCCTTTCATCTTCTTCTCTGTTGCTCTTGTTTTACTTCTTTTATCCCAATCTAACCCTACTCTGTCGTTTTCCTTCTCCCTGCCCTGATTTCTAAGCTGTTTCTCTGTTCTTGCCTGTATCACCCTTGGAGCATTGTACGGCTGTAGCAGATTAGAAGGCAGAGCCCAGCAGACATGTAGACTTTTTGCTTTGGACCAAAAATACCGCTTCTGTGTTTATACTACAGAGAGGTCACTCTTTTCTAGCCTGCAAGACTGGTGACCAGCGCAGGAGTGTTAAGCAAGCGCCGTGCAAGGAGCTGAGTTACAAAACTAGATGTGAACAACCTCAGCAATGTCACACCCAAGCTAGCCTGGAAATAGAGAAGGCTCTTCTCTGCTGTGATGTTTTAAATCACTGAGAATCACGTTTGTGATGAGTCTGTGATTCATTAGTGATCTCTTGGCAGACCAGCACTTGCAGGTAACACACCCAAATCAGTGTTACATGTCCACACCACTGAATCTCAGCCTGTGCTCTTAGGGTGCTCAGAACTAGGTGCTGAAGGCTTGAGATAAGTGTTGGCAATTACAGCTTTTGCAGCATAACTCTTCAGCAGCATGAAGGGAGTTTCTGTACCTACCGTAATCGTAGGATCCATCTCCCCAGCCTTGGTTCCCTGGCAGCTGGGTGTCTAGGCTATGCTATCTGTCTGGGATCTCTGGGTAGTCAGAGAAGAGGGATTGGCACCTCTGGGGCACGTTATTCCCTCTTCAGGTAGACCCAGGGTTTGGCATGTGAAGGTGTTTCTCTTTCACTGCTGAATACAGAGGAAGCCCAGATACCTACCTGTTAGCTGGCTGAAATGAATCCCCACTGCAGTCATGTTGGTTTATTCCTTCAGGAAGAAAAGAAAAATAATACCAAATCAAAAACCCTCATTAAATGGTCAGCTGTTAACTGCTTTGTATTGTCATGTCTTCATACCTGCTGCAACGTAAGAAGTAAAGTGTAGTCTAGAGAGAAGGTGAGTGCTGCATTTAGCCAATGGATCCAGTGAGAAAAATAAGTATTACGTTGTTAAAATTAAATGTGTTTTACAGAACTCTTCTCAGGTCTTGGTAAGAAGCTGGTATATTCAGACTTACATGTAGCATTGGCCACGAGCATACTCTATGTATTAATCTCATTTTACATTTTCTATCTTGGCCTTTACTTTTGCTTCAGGCAAAAGAAGGTAATTATTCACATATGACCCACAGTAATTAGTGTACAGTTTTGGATAAGTATAAATGAAGTATGACAGCCACGCACGCAAGGGTGAACAAGTTTCAGTAGGGAAACTTTCTGAGAAAAGCTCACAGAAACTCAGCGTTGCATAATCTGGACTTTTTTTTATTTTTTAGGCAGGCTGATCTTGCTGACAAATGTTTACCTAAGCAGGATGTGTTTGAGAACTATATTTTTTTTCAGTTACTTCATATGCATAGCCACTGAGACATTCGCAATCGTTTGGATACAGGAGGCAAAACAATGCAGTATTTTGAAAGGATGTACGACTTGGTTGATTGGAAAGTATACTCCTTTTAAACTTCATTATAAAAGGAAACAAAATTTTATAGATGGTAACAGTTGCATTTAATTCTCTTTTTTAAAGTATGCTATCGTCTAGCTCCCCAAAACTTCACACCAGTGTCCTCAAAACTTATGGCAAGGAGCCCACTGGGGGGCGAGCTTGAATTGCACATCGCCTCTCCAGCTGGAAGAACTGCAAGAGAAACTTGTGCTAGTTAGAGCATTTCGTAAATCACAAGCACTGGTATTAAATTTCTCTTGCTAGTAGAATCAGCTTCTTGTTGTTTTGCCAAATCATCAAATAAAGCTATCAGGAGGTATCGAGTGTGATGGAGAGCCTTCAGGGCTCGCAGGAAATCCCGCAGCTCAGGTTTATCAACTCTTTCCACAAGGAGAAACGGTGAGAAATTGGCTCGCTGGAGTTGCGTTGAGTTAGTTTCTGCTTCAGCAAACTTAAAGAAAATTACTAATGTGTGACTCTACAAATGAGTAATCTTTAAAAATGGGAGAACCAGCAGCCCTGTTGTTGCATTCCCAGTCTGCGTACGTCTGTGTTGCGCTCGGTTTAGCGGCTGCTGTTGGCCCCCGAAATGGGGAGAGCTGTAATTCCACCCATGCAGCCCCGGTGGGACTCACCTTCTTCAGTTTGCTGCTTTCTCTTTGAAGATGGAGACAACTGTAGCATTAATTTATGATATGTAACAGCTATTTCAGACCTTTTAGGTGGTACTAAGGTTTGCCATTGACACTTCCAGCAGGACAGCTGAGCATTGCAGACTAAGTAATACGGGTTGCTTCCACTGTGGGTTTTTTTTTTCCCCATCAAAATTTTATTCTAAAAATATTTAAATTTATCTTAATGAATTGTTGTTTCCTTTTCTACTAACCCTGGTTTGTGAAAGATCTACAGGCTCTGTTACCTCTGAAGAGAGGCGATGAAAATCTGATAGGTTTTATGTAAATTGAACAGGCAAATCATGCCTTCTGTTGAGAGGCTGATATGGGTTATAAAAACTAGACTTTAATAGCTGATCTGTGAAGTTGGTGAAACTGGAAATCATGTGTCTGTGAAACCGTAAAATGCATTAAATGATTTCATTATTTTGGCAAAAAGCAGGCAGATATTTTCATGCCATAAAATTGAGGACATACGTCTTGACCTCCTCTCTAGTTGGCTGGATGTTTCTGAGATGTCAAAGGAAAGCTGCAAAGTAGTCAAAATCATTTGCAATTTCCCTGAAAAATTTCACTTGTCGTTATTGTTCGATCATTTGTAACTATAATTAAAGTAAGTTCCTGAGCTAGACACAGTAAAGGTGGCAGGACAAAGCCACGCAGTCAGACCATTTATCAGGTCAAATGCAATGCAGCAGAGTCTCGTGTATGTGTTATTATAGCCTCAGTCAGCTTATTAGTTGTGGATAAAGAGAGTGACTGGGAAGATGAGAAGACAGGGAAGTCTCTTGAAGGGAGAGAGAAGAGGGAAAACAAGAACAAAGATCCAGGAACCTTTGGGCTAGTTGCTATTGCAATGCAAAGGAGACATTAGAAAGTAGAAACACCTTTTGGATAGATGACAGTAATGATACGAAAAACACACAAACACTTTTTTTCTTTTTTTTTATAGTGATCTCAGTTGCCTTCTTAACGCATTAAATAATGAAAAGCGTGAGTTTCGAAAGGTGTCAGGTTCTGGCCGCCAACAGAGACGGTGCCGGGCAGTGGCTGCTGGCTGTGGGCGATGTCCCGGAGCATGCACGTGGTGGTGCACCTGGTCACAGACAAACTGTCCCGCTAGCCGACCATGTGGCTAAAAGCTCCTTTCACTTTTCATCCACGGGCTACTTAGTCTACAAATCCCACTGTGCAATATTCTGTTTTAACCTGAATCGTGGCCTATCGGTACTAAAGCTAAGCTTTGCATGTCACGATCCAGTTTTCATAGGCATCATCTGTCTCATCTTAAACACGGAGAGCATGTAAATTTGAGGCACA